GCCCCGGCGACCACGGCGTCGGTGCCGGTGACCACACAGCCACCGGTATCCGTGACGAGTGGGGGGGGGGCATCCCAAAGAGGTCGACGGCATCCTTGTTCCTGACTCCGCGAGGCCCGAGATACCAGCATGACGATCGCACCAGTCAAAGCTGGAGCCAATTCGATGCAGATACCACCCGAGAATCGTATTCGCACATGGGATATGCCCCGAGGGACAGTTTGTATGACAAAGGGCTGGGGGCTCAAGGACTACCTCCCCTGGGAGCCCAATTTGAACCCATGCCACCGCCATGGGTGACGGACCGATCAAAGGCCCGGAGTGGCCAAGCCTCCCCAGAAGAGGGGTTGATGGACCAGATCGAGACAACAGATCAAACGGTGAGACAACTGCAGCAAACATTGGAAGAGATGCTACAAGCCATCTTGGAATTAGTCATGCAAACCATCGAAGAAGCGCTCGAGCGAATGTGACCGGCGGATGGGGCGCCAGGGGACCAGCCACCGCTGGGACCTGGGGGGCCAGGACAACAAGGGCCACCCGGCCAACCGAGGTTACCCCAGCAACCTCAGCAACCGGTCCCAGTCCCTGTTCCAAGGCAACCAGACGTACCAATCCCGGTGCCCAGACCAGGCAGTCCTCAGGGCCAAGCGATCCCCCGCCCAAAGGACCTGATCGAGGTGACATTTGACGGCAACCCTGAGGAGCTCGCCTACTTCATGGTGCATGTGCAGAAATTTATTGATCGATCGGGCCACCTGTTCCCCGATGACAGTAGCCGTATCGACGTGGTGGCCATGAGACTCCGAGGAGCCGCAGCAGCCTGGTATGTGGGACTTCATAATGCCAGGGGCCCTGAACTGACTGACATGTATGCGTTCATGTGGGCACTGCGAGCCCAGTTTGAGGACCGTAATGCGGGCCCAAGGGCGTGAGCGTACTTGCGCACGTTGAAGCAAGGGAGGAGAACGGTCTGTGAGTACTCGGCTGAGTTTAAACTGCACGCAGCGAAATTGCCCAACTGGCCAGATAACGTTCTGGCAGAAATGTACCAGGTAGGCCTGAACGCGGAAACCAGAGAGACAGTACTGAGGTCCGTGGACCCGGTTTCTCTGATGGCATGGATGCAAGAAGTCGAGAGTGTGGAGAATCGCCTGCATACACTGAGGCTGGACATCGCTGCAGCCGGGGGAAGAGCAACCCCATCTCCCTTTAAACCCAAGCCATCGCGACAACTGGATGCCCTGCGAGAGCAACAGATGCGCCAAGGTTTGTGTCTAAAGTGCGGGGAGAGGGGCCACTTCGCTGCCGACTGCGGGCAACCCACCCAAAAGGAGAAAGATTATACCGGGAAAAGTCGCCCCACCACCCCGCTGAAAAAACCGAAGAGAGTTACCCAACAACAGAGAAAACACTGTACCACCGAAGCTAAGTACCCTAATATCTTTAGAAAAATTGTTGGCAGCAATTACAAACCATAAAACTTTACCAAACCGCAAAGTCAAACCGATAAAGTGAAAGGGACAGGTTCCCTTTAATTGGCCACAGCAGTTGCACCGGTTAAAGTAACACTAAAAAGAACCTAACATTGCAGGACCAAAAAGAAAGGGGAGGCTTGGGAATCCCCAACTGTAAACTCTATTATACAGCGGCAGCAATGACTTGGATAAAAGATTGGGTCATGCTGGAAAACAAAAGGTTACTGTTGTTAGAAGGATGCGACCTAGACATGGGTTGGCATGCCTATATAGGATACGGGAAAGATAAAATTCATACGAAATTCAACCAACACACAATCAGAGGAGCGCTAGATAAAATATGGCAAGAAATCAAAGATAAATACTATGTTAAAATACCTAAATGGATATCCCCAATTGAAGCCTTCACAAAAACCTCTCTATTATCCAACCCAACAGACATAACATATGAGATATTATTAGACTCAAATGGAAATCTAAAAAACCGAGAAACCTTGGAAAAAGAAGGTTTCAAATTAACATGGTGGGGAAATATGCAGTTGAACACAACATACAATAAGGATAAAAAGAAAGGTTTTTACTATGAGAAGAATGACTTAGACAAATTATGGCTTTCTACGAATGACAAATTAATACAGAAACTATATAAACTACTTCTTGTAAACTATGAGTTAGATGAGGAGGTAAAAAGTTGTATGATCACATGGATGCAAGATTTTGGTTACATTATTGAAGACTGGTCTACAGTATGGGTTGCTGCAAAATACCTGAGATCTATTCCCTATAAGGAAAATCTATTTAAAATATGCCACTGCTGGCATTGGTCGCCAGACAAACTAGCAAAATGCTATCCAACTTTGTCAAAAAATTGTTGGAAGTGTAAAAATAATGTAGGCACCTTCTACCATATGTGGTGGAGGTGCGCTGAGACCCAAAGATACTGGCATAAAGTACACAAAATGTTAGGTGATATATTAGAAATTGAGATACCATATACACCAGAATTTTTTCTGTTAAATGTAATACCAGAAAAATATAAGAAGGAAGAAAAATATGTTCTAGGATATATTGTCACTGCAGCACGTATTCTGTTTGCCAAAAACTGGAAACAAGGGGGGATACCGTTTAAAAAAGATTTAATCTTTAAAATACAGGAAGTGATTGAAATGGACAAGTTAACCACATTATTACAATACAAAGATACGATATTCTCTAATAGGTGGGAAAAGTCTTATAAATGGTTTAAGAAGATGTAATAAGTTAAACGAGATGTTGTGGAACTCTGTAATGGTTATATCTATGCGTAGAATTTATATGCATGATGTAATGCATTTTAAAACTGAAATAAATATATATAAAAAAAGAGCATTTGCATTTTTGAGTTATCTATAGCCCTCACTTGGCGGGTGGTAACAATTGTTACCCAGGCTCCACCCCTCAAATCTCAAGGAATTTCCATAGGTAAAGGTGGCAATGCACCAAACAGAGGGGGACAGAGAGGGGGGAAGAAGGTAAGAAGGGGGTTGGAGGGAGGGCTGCAGAAGCATATGCCGGCTTCTCTTGGTGTGCAGGCTGGAGAAGGGAGACTGTGTCCATTTTAAACCCGGCCCTTGGAACTCACGTTAGAGCGAAGGCTCTCGTAGACTCGGGGTGCAGGAGAGACTTGATAAGCCCCTCGGTGGTGGCTGGGCTGGAGGTGGGAGTGGTGAAGTTAAAAGACCCCATAATCTTCACTCAGATGGACGGGTCCCCTATGAAAGACCCGTGTATTTACGAGACTGGTCCCGTATTGATGGGAGCTGGAGAACACTGGGAATCTAGATCTTTTGTTGTGACCCCAGCAGCCTGTTTCCCGGTAGTATTGGGAGCTCCTTGGCTGTACGGACACTATCCTTACAAACTGTGGGAAGAAGGGAGGGTGGTGCAATTCATCTCCCCCCGATGCCAAACCCACTGTTGGGACGAGAAATGGGGCCAACAACCCCCTCCCGAGAAACCAATGGCTCTCCTTGCCCAAGAGGAATTGCAGTCCGTCCCTCCTGAGTACCGTGATCTGGCCAAAGTTTTCGGAGAGGAGGAGGCCACCCCATAGGCACTCAGACTGTAGTATTGAGTTGGTGCCAGGGGCTAAACTACCAAAAGGGAAAATCTATGTCATGGGGCCGGCCGAGAAAGACGAACTAAGAAAGTTTATTGATAAAAACTTGGCATGAGGATTCATCCGGCCGGCCTCATCTCCCTTTGCGGCACCAGTTTTATTTCAGAAAAAAAAGGATGGTGGACTGAGACTCTGCACGGATTACCAGGGCTTAAATGCAGTGTCAGCCACCAACGCCTACCCAATGCCTTTGATTAAAGATCTACTGGCTGAAGCGGCTAAGGGGAAAATCTTTTCAAAGTTGGATTTGCGAGACGCTTATTTCCGTGTGTGCATAAAAGAGGGTGACGAGCTGAAAACAGCCTTCAACACACCCCTGGGCCAATTTGAGTACTTAGTTATGCTTTTCGGACTTCAAGGGGCTCCAGGGGTGTTCATGAATTTGATCAACGAGGTGTTGCACAAACATTTGTTTAAAGGGGTGCTTGTTTACCTAGATGATATACTTTTGTACTCTCCCAACTTGCCCTCCCATGTAAAATTGGTTCGAGAAGTCTTGAAATTGAAAACGTTGCACAAGCACAAACTGTTTGCCAAACTATCCAAATGTGAATTTCATAAGACACACATTGACTTCTTGGGCTACCGCATTTCTAATGCGGGGTTGGAAATGGACCCGGGGAAGGTTCAAGCGGTATTGGGGTGGGAGCCCCCTAGAACTAGGCGGCAACTCCAATCCTTCCTCGGATTTGCGAACTTTTATCGTTCATTTTTGCCCAATTTTGCCCAAATCAGCCTTCTCCTAACTGACTTGTTAAAGATGAAGGGGAAGGGACCGGAAGCTACCAAGCTGAGCGCTCCACTCCCTTGGTCGAATGAATGCCAGGAGAAAAAAAATCATTGTACAGAATGATGCGTCTGATGTTGCCATGGGAGGGGCCATTTTGCAAGAGGGGGACGATGGGTTCCTACACTCCCTTGCCTACGTCTCCAAAAAGTTCACTGACTCTGAAAGACACTGGTCTGTGTGGGAAAAGGAAGCGGGAGCTATAAAGCTGGCGCTTTCTACATGGAGGCACTGGCTGGAAGGGGCGAGGGTGCCGTTCGAGGTGTGGACTGATCACAAGAACTTGGAGACTATTAAAATGCCTCGTTGCCTAAACGCCAAACAGTTGCGTTGGGCAGACTTCTTTTCTAAATTTCAGTTCACCCTCCATCATTTCCCAGGCTCGGCAAACTCGCTAGCTGATGCCCTTTCGCGCCTCCCTCAACATGCCAGCCAAAGGGACGACATCCTGGACTCGGTTTTCACTCCCGCCCAGTTGGGGGGGGGCAGTCACCACTCGCAGGCAAGCGGCCAAGTTGCCTGGAACTCAACCCCTTGGTAACTCCTCCCCAGAGACTATGCGATGGACAGGCCCGTTCGTCTCCGCTTTCTCTGAGGCTGACGGGGAGGTGGTGAAAGGGGGGGTGATTGTGTTCAAGGGGAAAATGGATGCTGGTATCGTGACAATAAACTGTATGTTCCCCTGTCATTGGGAGGAGGTTATGCAATCGGTCCATGGCTCAAAACTAGCGGGCCACTCAGGGTTTGTGAAATCACTCCAACTGCTGCAGCAGCAATTTTGGTGGCCTTCCATGTGCAAGGATTTATCAGCATTTGTTCACTCATGCCAAGTGTGCACCATGAGCAAACCTCAACCGGGGAAGGTTCTGGGATTATTGCGACCCCTACCCACCCCTCATCGGCCATGGGAGGTGATTTCCATGGATTTCATCACTGATCTGCCTCCTAGTAAATCCATGACTGCAATTGGGTAGTGGTGGATCTCTTTTCTAAACAGGCGCATTTCGTCCCGTTTCCATCGTTGCCTACGGCAAGGGCACTTGCCAAAGCTTTCTTGACACATGTCGTGCGCCTACATATGTTGCCCAGCAAGATAATCTCTGACAGGGGGACCCAATTTGTTTCCAAGTTTTGGGGGGCGTTAATGGAAATTATGGGGGTAGAGAGGGGTTTGAGCAGTGCTTACCACCCAGAGACTGATGGACAAACGGAAAGGGTTAATCAAACTTTGGAACAGTACCTCCGTTGCTTTACGAACTACCAACAGGATGACTGGCATGATCTGCTACCCCCCACCAGACAGGGGCCTTGCAAGCCACAGGACGGCACCTCGGTTCCCCAGGGCTGAGGGTAGGTCCCCGTTTCGCCACAGAAGGCATAGAGGGGATGCTTATCAAATTTGCAGATGACACAAAGCTAGGTGGGATTGCTAATTCTGAAGAAGACAGAGTCAGGATTCAAAATGACCTAGATAGGCTAGAACTCCTTGAATAGGTGAGGTTCTGACACTTTTTTGCCAGTCTCACAGGCTCTGCCCTAAGTCTGTTATTTGCAGAGGCCACAACTCACCTGCTCTGCTCCAGACAGGGCTTATCAGACCCTTTTTCTCTTCAGAGTCTCTCACTAGGAGTTTTTTTGTTGAGTCTCCTCCCTAACACCAACTGACTAACTAACTCATTCCCACTTGAATTTTTTTAAAACAGCTCAGCGTTCCATTCCACAGTAAGCAGACTTCACCCAATCAGAAAGAGCTCTGTGAGCTGTCAAAGATTTTTAGGTAGCTCACCCTTTTCCAAGCAACATTGCTTAAAAGCCTGCTATTGCTTGCTGTCCATCACACATGGCTTTACACGGCTCCCCGTGTGCCTTCTTCTGAGCTCGGACCATGCCCCCCGGGTCCCCAACCCTATGCCACACCCTCTGTTGAAGGATGACAGATCATACCAGCAGCATGCCAGGCCACCGGCAGGGCTGTTTTTGTAGAAAAAGCCCAGCAGGATCTCAATAGCATAATAGGCCACACCCAGCAGCAGAAACTCATTAGCATATTAGGCCACACCCCCGCCAGCGCAGCTCCCTCCCCAGATTGGCATTACCCAGGTTCCCCGTGGTTTGCAGGGCACGTGGGGAACCCGAGGGAAGGAAGGGAGTTTCAGGATCGGCTTCCCCAGGTGCCCTGCTGCTGCGGGGTGCCTGGGGAACCTGAGGAGGGGAGGTAGTTTAAACTGCCTTCCCTTCCTGAATCAGCTTGGCTTCCCCAGGAGCCCTGCGGCTTGCGAGGCCCATGGGGACCCCGAGGCGGGGGAGGCAGTTTAAACTGCTTTCCCTCCCAGAATTGGCTTTCCCAGGCACCCTGCAGCTGCAGACCCCGAGGAGGGGAGGCAGTTTAAACAGACCTAGGCTTGCCCTTGAAACAGCTGGAGGCAGTGTGGGGGCCCCTGCACAGTGGGCACTCATGTTTGTATGTGCATGTCTTCCATCCACATGCCCCATTGGAGCCAAACTCACAGCAGAGTAAGTGGGATTGAACCGCCTGCCCCGCTGAGGTAGTTGATTCCCCAGGAGGTAGCTTGGTTTCCCCAGAACCCGAGCTATTGGGAAGGTGGTGCACAAGGTGCCCACTGTCATAGCTATTGCCCCCTGTAGGCCATGCCAGTGTCATCAGTTGCATCCACAACTGACCCCAGCGTAACGAGGTGTCATGTATTGTGTGCATTTTTATTGGTGAAGTACAGTGAGCTGCTCAGATTAACAATCCAAATGACAATGGGGCAAACCTTTTCTTGTGCACAGACAGCCCCCCTATCTCAAACAGCTACCCACCCACGATAATGCAACATCTCATTTGAACATGGACACTGGGACCAGAGCTTGCAATAAACCCAGATGCCAACTTTGCTGCCACAAACACCCAGACAACATCAACTCCACCATCAGAGGCTCATTCACTTGCTCATCTTCTAACACTGTATATGCCATTAAATGCCAACAATGCCCTTCAGTTCTCTACATAGGGCAAACCCTACGCCAGTGGTTAAATGGACACAAATCTGACATCAGGAATCACAGGATTGAGAAACCTGTAGGAGAACACTTCAGCCTTCCAGGACATTCAATGGGTGACCTCAAAGTGGCTGTTTTATTACAAAGGAACTTCAGAAACAGAATGGAAAGGGAAATAGCTGAAATACAAATTATTACAACACTCAGAACGAAAACCTCCCCAGGACTCAATAGGGATATTGGTTGTTTATCTCTTTACATATGCTAACCCATTCAGTCCTCACATACGTATTCTCAACAAGAAGGACTATAAATCCTCTGAATTTTAATGTATTTTAGTGTATTTCTTTTTCAGAATAGTATATTAGAACACTGAATGTATGCAAGGGACATTAGGATGTCTGCTGACATAACAGTATTTTTTGGAGGGGGAGGTAGTGCTAAGTGCCCTCCATGCCTGATAGGAGAGAAGGAAGATTCCCAGTCACTTCCCACAATTAGGAAAGGCACCTTTAGGGTGCAATCATACATACCAAAAGCAGCAGTAACAGTCCGATTCCCCCGCGGAGTAAAGGGGCACGATCAGACAGACACATCTGTCCAGCGTCCCGGAGTTGTTGGCGGGGTGTCGTATCACGCTGCAGAAGTGTGGGAAAAAGCCACCTGGTAAAACCTTCTAGTATACGGAACTGCAGTGTGCGCGGCCGGAAGTGTGATTGCACAAACACGTGTCATTGCAACCCCGGGGCAAACAGCCTCGCTTCCCGCCCGCATTTTCTCCCTTGTGTGACCGCAGCCTTAGACATTTTTCTGCTAATTTGACATATTTATTGCTTTACAATTGTTGACCCTATAAACTTAACTAGTTATTTAGTGTCACTTTGCATATCTTGATCATCATCATGTTGCATGTTAATCCGCTGTTCCTTCTCTGGCTATAAATTTGAATCTTGCATGCCATTCTAACAGATTTGATAAAGTGTGTGTGCACACAAAAGCTCATACCTTGAATAAACCTTTGTTGGTCTTAAAGGTGCCATCGGACTCGGGGTGTAGACTTTCCCATTTCCCGGGGGGGGGGCTGGGGCTTGGCCAGAGGCATTGCTGTGCTAGGAGCAAGGGTGGCTCCTGGGAGAGGCTGAGCACCTTTCTGAAAATTTCGGCGGGGGCTGAAGCCCCGCCGCCCCCACGAAGATTACGCCTATTTGTAATCTAGATTATAGTGAAGCACACAAAAGTAAAAAAAAATAATAATAATAAAGGATGTTGCTTTTCACCTGACATTTGTTCTTACCAGAGATCAGAATGACACATGCAATTTAGTTGCCTGGGCAGAGATAAGAATTAAACCTCTACCTACCCTCCTTGAGTTTTTTGGTATCAATTAGGGCTCTTGATTGAATTCATTCTTTCAGTACATGCTATTATTTGGAAGACTTTTGTTCTGAACTAAATGCACATAGCTATGGAAGAAAATTTATTTTTATCTGTGTACCAGCCCTTATTGTCCTAGAAAATTTCACAGTTTAGAAGAACCACAAGCTAAGGGCAATATGTTACACATTTCATTAGATATATAATCTGTTTAAAATGAATCGCTCTTTTGTTGACTCCCCTTCAGATGTTTGCCGAACTACTGTGAACATGGAGGAAAATGTTCCCAGTCCTGGACGACATTCTATTGTGATTGTAGTGAAACTGATTACACCGGAACCACCTGTCATAACTGTAAGTAGACTGGATTTATGAAAAGACTCAGAAGAAACTGTGGCAGAACTGTGTGTGTGTGTGTGTATGTGTGGTGGGGAGCATTCAGCACAACAGAAAAGCCTTCTTTGGAAGTACATCTTGTGTGAAATCAGAAGTTTGAAAAGACTTGTGCCCAACTCTGTTGTGTTAGAGATAAATCTATATTAAATGGTGACTACTGGCACATAGGTGGACACTGGATCGCAACGTTAATCTCATGCTATCTCCTCAATTCTAATGAACAAATGGGAAAGAACGGAGTTCCCCCACCTTTCCCTCCACATATGCAACACACACACACACACACACAGAGGATGCTGTTCACAAGTGTGTTTGGTGATGCTACAGGCAGACCTAATGGACTGGCTAGGACCCCCATGGTTAAGAAAAAGATATATGCCCCCCCCCCCAATATATAAATACATACTCAATCAGCAAAAGGAGACTGCCTTCAACAGCAAAAGACCGACTGGTAGACCAAAAAAGGCAAAAACACTCTTCTTCCTGATTCATTTTTTTGCTACTTGAAATAAATGGCTTTGTTTCTCTCTCTCTCTGTGTGTATGTGTGCTGTCAAAGTCTTTGTGTTGCATGAATATGCTATAAAATGTATGCAGAGAGAAAAATCTCAGGAAATATCTTGTGTTCTTGTTATTTGTCTTTGCTTTTATATATATAAAAACAACACTTCTAGCAAAGTTTTTTACAGTATTGTACTTGCCCTCAAATTAACCCCAGAAAGAAAATCCCTCCCTCCCTCCCCCTCCCCCCTC